TTCACTACCGCCTTACGTTCTTTACACGATCAATTCGTTATCACCACTGTTGACAAGGCATCTAATAATTAAATCCTCATTTGTAAAAAATACTATGCTCAGTTACTTTATGAAGAGCTGAGGTATGCTCAGTTACTTTATGAAGAGCCACGACTAGTGGCAATGCCGTTTACAGCCCGCTGATAATCAGCCCCGAAGGGCTCATCAACAGTCATGGAGCGCTTTTGAGCTCTTTCCAAATTGCTGCCGCGGATGTCGATGACTGCGTACTCATTCATTACGCTGTTCCATGGAACCGTTTTATAGCTGGTGCATACCGATCTGCACTGCGTCCTTTAGCGCTGGTGGCCCATTGGATTCTCATGCACTTGCGTTGCCATTTTCGAAATTACTGTATCAGGATTGCTGAGCGAACTGGTCGAAGTGTATGTTTCAGCATCCGCAGCTCTTTAGAAATAATAACTTTGCTGCCCTCAATGACTCTGTCGAGCACCTGCACAGTACCGATTTCAGCAAACTCTTTACAACCTTGCCTCACGGCGATATTTCGGAGTGTCTCAGCTACCTTGTTAACCTATGCTTTTCTAAGGCTGGCATGGGCTGGTTGGCTGTTTCTGACTCAAACTGTTGGTTTACAAGCTCCCCGCCGTCTCATACTGTCAATTACTGCTCAAGAGAAGTCAAGCCTTTACTACAAACCATATTGAGTGAATCTTACGTAAGTTTTGGTGGTACCGTCTTTAACCAAACTTGCGGTGTACCAATGGGTGGAAATGCAAGTCCCGACATCACTGATTTGACATTGTCCATCACGGAATATCGTTACATGAAAACTCATAATCACGTTAGGCTAAAACTTTTCCGATACACTGACGACATTCTGTTTGTCATCTTTCCCAACTTTCCCAACACATCACGAGATATTTATGGAGACTCCCTCGTGCTCAATACAACCCACAACAGTGTTCATGCCTGTTTTCTTGATTTAGACATCTCCTGTCTTCGGCATAGATGTATCTTCGACGTATACGATAAAAGCCTTGATTAACCATTCACTGTTAACCACCGCAGTGATCCACAGAGTGATGTTGACTACATAGGTATCTTAATCTCTCAAATGCTAAGGTATGCCCGCATTTGTACTTCTCTAGATTGATTTGTATGGTGGTCTCACTGCCTCTGCAGATTTACCTCCAATGGGGGCTATGACATTCCAAAATTAGTGGTTGTTGTCCGCAGATTTGTGGGAAGTTACAAAATAGTTCTGAGTAAATATGTATACTGTGATGACTCTGGGTCGCGTACGATTGCTCCTTACTGTTGAATTTAAAAAACCTCAACTACTTCTTTTCACGTCATATTTCAGAATGACGTCACAACCAGAACTGCCGATGATGCGCACGAAGACCGACAATCACGTTACGCACGTTAGTTTTTATGCGTTTTTTGCAGCTATGTAATGAAGAAAACGCACATTGACGAGGGGTTGTCAGTGTGTATGTGTGTGTGCCTGTGTGCCCGTTTGTGCGTCTGTCACGGTTTTTCATCTCAAGACCTACAAAAGCTACAGGGCTGAAACTATGGAAACTTAATCTACATACACGTACGGGCCCCAATCCCCAAAATTGGCGCCATTACCCGCGTGGTACCCGCGTACGGGCCAGCCAAAGCTTTTTTCAGGTAAGTTCATAGCTCGGGGATCTAAGGAGCTAGAAAGCTGAAATCTTAGGAGGATTTTCCCCATCCAGGTGGATATTGGTGAGCTCAAACCCAGCCCTCCGGTAAGCGTAGAAAATTCCACATACATTTACTGTGGCTATGTTGCTGCTGTGATATACACAGTGGCTGTACAGAAGCGATGTTGTCGTAAAGTTGTCGGCATCTTATACAGATGACGCAATAGAACGTATACATTATACACACTGTATACCCACAGAACCATGAAAGCACCGGTTATCGTAATTTTCCCCGTGTAATACACCTATGCTGCTGGTATATTATATACAGCGCATGCGCTGAAGCTATAATGAGACTATGTTATTGGTATATTGTACAGAACGCCCATGTATAAAATATAGCATCTGTATACGTACTGGTCAACAACCATCTGGAACAGCGGTTTCGGTATAATGCATCTATGTTATGTCTATAATATATACCAACAATATACCTCACTGGTACCTCGCGTTCTGTATCTCTGTTGATTTTCATTTGTACATGCTCTATACAAATTTCTGATTGCCTGCGTGTAATGAACCGAGGGTGAGGTGCAGGCTTTGTTCTGCAAAAGTGGCGGGATTCCTTGTTGATGGGGACGACGTCCAATCAACAATAACAAGCGCATTTCAGCAACAAATAACGGAGCTGAGCGGACGGCTCAGCTCCGTCTCTGATAGGAACGAGGAATTGGTATGCCGGTGTTTTTTCAAGTACATGTATTGGCTCGTTCACGTGGACATCGGGTTGCTGTCTCTGTCATCCACTTTCGATCCGAGATTGTGGTGCGCCCCATCATCTGTGACTGGCCTGTTTGAGGGGATCTCCTGAACTTCTTTCAACAATCCAATTCGATTCTTGTTATTTAATTCACTCGCATGTCTGATGCCTTGTTTATGCACTGTGTGTTCACTGGCACAGCGCCACAGAGCACCCGTTCGTCCACTA